TAAGAATGGAGAATGTGAGCAGAACGACTGACCTGAACACAGGCAACATTTCACAGCTAGAGGTCTGTAATATACTTCCTTGGTCAACTCCTGTAATAAATGTTGACCTTATCTTAAAGCAATTTCCAAAGGAATCCACCCCAGATTATGTCTACAGGCAGCACTTTGCAGAAATTCAACACCATGACAGGAATTTAATTCCTATTTATACAAATGGATCTAAATCTGATGGTTACGCTGGCTCAGCTTTTGTCTGCCAGGATGAAATCGTGGCGGAACAAATTGCATTGAATTGGTTCCATTTTTTCTGCAGAGTTGCATGGTATTCATTTAGCTTTAAAGTATATAAATAGGAAAGGTTATCGTTCCTGTGTTATTTATACTGACTCAGTTAGTGCACTTCAGGCTTTGATTTCATGTTAACCTAGTTATCACTCTATAGTGAGTAAAATTTGTAAGCTAATGTGAGAACTAGACCGAGTTAATTAAAAATAAAATGTTTGATATTAAACGATCAATTATTATTAACATCGAAACTCTCAGTTTTTCTTTGTGTTAAAATTCTCCCTGGGAGGAAATCTATCCTTCCGTGCCCCGGAGTGACTTCCTTTCCCAACGGAACCCGAAACTGAATCACCCGGACATCTTTTAAAAAAATATACGATTGGTGAAACCCGGCCACGAGACCCGAAGGTATAAAGACCAGGTGCCGCACGGAAGGGGAGTCGATTCCGCTTACCCAGATCCAGGACGCCACCCGACCGCCTCGCCGACGAACCCTGGGACGATCCCGAGACACGATCCGATCAAGATCCTCGACCCAGCAAGAACGCCAATCCAAAACTAGACCGAAATTCATCCGAGGTATGACCCAATATTGTACACTCTCTCTCGGCGCGGTCCCTTCGAATAACGCGCAAGTAGGTAGTCTTTGTATGTTAGGATTATGTTGTCTAAATAAATGTGTGTTTGTTTATTAAAAGGTTGTCTTTATTTCGGGTATCGTTAACGCTTTACCGTCGACCCCTCTCACCTCCTCCACTCGACCTGACAAAAGAATCCCGACTTTACGGGATAGAAAAAGCATTTTCTAAGCCATCCACTGACCAGTGGGCAGTTGTCACCCAACTGTTGCCTATCAAAAAAAGAGGTACGACCTCGTCCTACCTCAGGCTACCCACACTAATTTGCCATCTTACTGCGAGTAATTTCTTTGTAAAATTTTGTTGGGTCCCAGGCCATGTAGGTATAAAAGGGAATGAAGAAGCTGACGCAGCTGCAAAGTCAGCTAGTCCTTCACAGCATACAATGCGTATTGAAGGAGGTGATTTCAAGCTAGTCATTAAAAAACGACTAGCAGAGAGATGGCAAAATATGTGGAACGCACAAGTCCACAATAAACTGCATGAGATCAAACTTACGATAGAAAATTGGACACACAAAATATTTTATAACAGATCTGAAGTTATTATTACTCGTTTGAGAATTGGACATACTCGGTTGACTCATCAATACTTTTTGAAGGGTGATGAGCAGCCAGTATGCACGTATTGCAAGTGTTCTCTTACTGTAAAACACATACTGCTCGATTGCTCTGTTTTTGAGACCAGGCGTATACAGCATTTTGGAAATGCAAGTCTTAAACCGATTCTGGGTATGAGGCCCAATATTTTTTAAAAGTCTCTAATTTGTGTAAAGAAATTTAATTATTTATGTATTTATATATCTATTAGCCTTTTGTTCGTTCTTGTTTGTGAATAATAGGTATATATCTGTTTTTTGTTGCTGTTTATTTATTTATTTATTTTTGTCATATGTTTCTTATTTGTGATTTTTATAATTATTTACCATTTGTTATCGCGCAGCTTAGCCTATATGACTCTTCTGCCAAAAAACCAATTCCAACCAATTATCAAAACATCTGCGCCAAACAGTGGCCCAGTCGATAGTGGCCTGAGTATTTAGCGGACAGAGGGATAGCGAGATATCGGGCCTAAGGTGGCGATAGATTTCGCAAGCCTTAGTTTTAACAGATGGAATATTCCCAGATTGGAAGAGACTAAGTAGGTGTGTGCACCATACTTTCACAAAGGGTGGTGGACCCAGTATATTGGGCATGAGGTTTACCTTGTAATTAGGTAAAAGTAACTTGGGCGATATCCAAGAAAGAAGCTGTACAGCTTGCTTACCGGGTGATCGCGGCCAGTAAGGGCAAGGACCAGCTGCCTAATTTGGACAGAAGTAGAGAAGAGGGTGGGATCAAACGTGGCCCAGCCACTGTTTGCTCTAGTATTATACATAATATGCCTATTAATTCATTCGGGTTTATTGCCCCAGACAAAACGAAAAAGGAGTCGATTGATATGCCTAAAGCCTACGTCCAGGCCAAAAACAGAGGCATAGTAGACAAAAATACCAAACCGCTGTTCTACTTGGAAAGTAGAGATAGCTGCCCGTCCAAATGGAAATTTTGTCCCCAATTTTAACTTTAATCTCCTTTAAGTTATGTTTGGCCGAGTCGGCACCAAAGTATAAACCTAAAATATTAACCCTATTGCTCACAGGGATGTCAGAGAAAGACACAGGTAAGATGGAACCAACAAGGGGCAGAAAGGAAGATTTCCCCTTGTTAATGACAGCTCCAGAGGCCTGACAATACCTGTCAAAATGGCCAAAAATTCTGGAGATAGCCCAGTTGTCTTTCACAAAGAAAGTGACGTCATCCGCATCGGCCATAAACTTATAGTAGTCCGATTTGTAGTACCCAGTCATAGGGTAGCCTGAGATACTAAAGTCCCTTTGTATCTTGCCCAAGAGGGTGTTGATACTTAGGGAGAAGAGAAACATGGACAGAGGACATCCCTGCCTGACTCCCTTACCGAGCGGGAAGGCCATTAATACTAATGCGGCAATGAGCCTTACGATACATAATTTGGATAGCCAAAAGTACCTTGTCAGGTATACCATATTTTTTAAGAACGTGCCAAAGAAAGCCGTGATCAACATGGTCAAAAGCTTTCGATTGATCAATCGAAAGCAGAGCTAATGGCCATTTCCTGTTGGAGCAGTATTCACTAAGTAACCTAATAAAGCTTAGATTATCTAGTATACATCTATTAGGAATACCTACTGTTTGAGTACTAGCAATACTAGGGGTCAGGGCAGAACCAATTTTGTTGTAGATAATGCGCGCGTAGAACTTGTAGTCTACGTTGGTAAGCGTTAAGGGCTGAAAATCATGGTCAGTAGTGCAGTTGTCTAGCTTGCGTAGAACAGAGAGCTGACCCAAGTTGAATTTTGAAATACTAGGGTCATTGGGGGACAGAGAGTTGTAAACCATTGGGAGAAAGGAGGACAATTTATCAGAAAAAACTATAGAACTCTGCTAGGAAGTTGTCAGGTCCAGGAGATCTGCCTGCACGCATTGCAGAAATTGCAGATTTCACTGAATCCTGAGAAAAAAGATGCAGAAAGGGATGAAGACAGGCTGTAGGAATTGCCCTTGTCATGTCTTCCCATTGAGATGAGTCGACGTGAGTAGGAGCGAAGAACTGGGAAAAGTGCTGAAAGAACAACTGGGTAATTTCTTGGTCATTAGAAGTTAAGGTGCCATCGTGCTTTAGATTGGAGGAGACATTAGATTTAGATTTATCATTCCGATAACGGCCGAAAAAGTTCGAGTCGAAACGCCTCGGAGTATTAAGGCAGGAGACCTTGTACCCCTCATAGGCGTGTTCGAATCTACTTGTTAGAAGGGCAGAGATGCTGGCCGAAGCCTGCTTAATGAGACCTTCAATGTACCCAGTGTTGTCATTGCTGCAGCGACAGTCAGACAAGAAGCATTGAAGAAGCCGCAGTCGACAATGTCTCTTGCGGCGAAGGTGCCTATCGGTGGAGCGGGCAAGTTGGAGCACCTCCCCCTTAAACCTACACCAGTCCTCTAGGCTGACAGTGGATAGCGAAAGCATGCTTGTTAGTAGCTTGTCTACTAAAGACAGATATTCTTCATCCCTAAGAATTTCAGGGGTGAGGTGGAAATGGTTACGTTTTGAAGAACAGGATAGATTGAATGTTGCCATTACCAGCGAATGGTCCGAGAACCGATTGCCCGGGAAATGGAGAGGTATGACAGAAAAGTCAGAAGCAGAAGATGGGATGTTAGAGTACATCCTATCCAACCTTGATTTTATAGAGCCGCTAGCATTACTCCATGTAAAGATAATGTTGCTGGGCAAAACAGCAAGCTGCACATCTTTTAGGGCAAAATTACACAAGAGGTCTTCAAGTTTTTTTTTTAGTACTATCAGAAAACCAGCTACCTCCTTTCTTATCTTCAGGACGAAGGATCACATTCCAATCACCAATGACAAATAAGTCTTTATTGGTAGCCAAATAGCTACCAAGAATTTGGAAGAAGTCCGAACGTAAGCTAGGCCTCGTAGGGCCATAGATGCAAACAACCCTAGCAGTTTTTTTATTTTTAACAATGTCTAAACAAACTATCCGTCCGTCACTATCAGTGACAAACTGTTGGACTGTGATACTGGAGGAGATGAGGAGTGCAACTCCTCCACTCCTACCCCTGGAGAAGCTATAATAGCTATTATAGCCCCTAATTTTAGGCCTAAAGGTCCTCTTCGCATGTTCTCAAAATACGTTTCCTGCAAAGCTAGAATGTCTAGCTGAAGGGCAGGCAAAAGGGATGCAACAAAAAGCTGACGGGGGATGGACCGAAGTCCATTACAATTAAGGGTCGCTAAACGTATTTTGAAAGCCATGTTAAAGTTAGGGGGTTAGTACTCCTCCGTATTTGGGTCAGAGGACTTGCCAGCCCTGGCCTTCCGGTGCCTACGCCTATTTCGGCAGGCCCGCTTACTGGGCCTACCTTCCCTCCCAGAGTCGGATCCTCCAGCAGCGGACTCGTCACTGCTGGTTTCACCTTCTCTCCCCTTAACACTATTTTTACGACTAGTTTTACTCCTAGTCCTCACGCTGCTTACTCACCGCTCCCTACTATCTAGCTTAGAGCTGTCCTCATCTACCTTATTTACTATCTTATCACTATTTCCAGTTTCCACAGACGGAGCTGGGACTGGGTCGGTTTCTCCAATGACCATAGGGGCAGCTTGGGCTTCCGGCAGATCGATGGAAGGAGAGATGGAGACAGAGGCATCCACAGACACCTCCATCTCGATGTTGTCCGAAGCTGCTGCTTCTTCAACAGAGCCTTTGGAAGTGCAGGAGAGAATATTATGGTCCCCCGAGCAAACACGGCACGGCTTAGGACAAGACCTGGAGGCATGGTACCTGCTATGACAATTGTCACACAGACTAGCCTTGCAGTCCCGCTGCTCATGACCCGGCTCCAGGCAGTGTCGGCAAATACGCTCGACGCCCCTGTAGCCAAGAGTCGGGCACACCCTCATAGTAGACAATGTTCGGGATAGGTTTCTTTACTTCTATACAGATTTTAACCGTGCCCGTGTTGATATGCGGGCGGCCCGGGACTTTAAGCATCGACACGGCATTCACGGCCCCGAACTGGCCCATTAACAAGCAAACTGCTTTTAGGTCTATCTCAAGGGGAAGGAAACGGATGAAGACGGTGGTGATGTCTTCATCCAAGGGGACAGGGAAAACCCTAATGTCCTTTACCACAAAACCTGTGGTAACAAGAAGGCGGCGACTCTCGGGCGACCGAAACCCAATGAAGTACCGGTCCTTGCCCATGGGCGCAAACCAGGAAACCTCCCCTGGCACTAGGGTGCACTCAATGCCGTCTAGAATCTCGTCAACAGACGAGCCTTCCGGAACGGAAACATGGGCACTAAGCACCCTGCGCATCCTGCCGATAAGGACGGCAGGCTTGGCACATTAATGCTGCGCCGGAACACCAGCATACAATTGCTCAGTGTTGAAGAACTTGTTAGAGTGAGCAGACACTGAAGCTGCTGGAGCCCAACGTGCTGCCACCTTAGCGAAACTTGTCTTCTGGGACACTGAGGGCCCAGAAGTGGATGGGGAAACGGAAGTGGCGGGAGCAGTCCCACTAACTATATTACTAAAACTAACAAAACTACACTGTCTGGCAGGTGCTAGAGAAGAGAGAACTTACCTTGTCGACATCCAGACAGCAACTCCACCCTTATAGACAGCTGACATAGGGACTGTTGGTGTCCTCAAGTTCTCATCACCTGCAGCATACCGGATTACCATCACCTAGGACTACTATTGTGGACTATCTACAACTTATTACAAACAGGATTCCTTGTAAGTACTGTCTTTTTTTCATTTTTGAGCGATTTTTCTGCTACTTTGTTCGGGCACCTGCTGAACTGCTGCCCCTCGATGTGGGTTCCTGTCCTTGGTGAGGGGACCTTCCAGAGATGGTTTAGTAACTCTTCTTTACCATCCCTGGGATCTGAACGCCCACCCACGTGTTTGCCGTGCATGGTGTCCCGTATACCGGAAAGGGGGATCCTGGTAGTTGAGGGGCAACATAACGTCCCCAACACACTGCTTTGGCCCCTGCTTCGGATAAACGGGAGGCTCAAATCAGGCTCCGTTTGAGTCAATCGGCTGATCGTTGAGTCATTCTTGACCTTGGCTTGGAGTCAACCGATCGATGCAGACCGAGCGGATGCGTCCCTGCTTGACAGTTTTGTCTTGTCAGTTCAGATGTGCTCTTGACTGCATTGTGAGAGTATAGCTCCTGGGAAACCCTGGTGTGACGGTCTATGGGAATGACCCATGTGACAACATCCCCTTGTTGGGTGGGGTCATTAGGAGCTGAATATTTATTTCTCAATATGGACCCAAAAACCATAAAATAACAAAGACGAGATCAAGTACCAACAAACCAGGAAAACAATTTCAGTCAACCTACTTATCTGATAATACACGCAACTGGAGAAAAACCTTTATCGAAATGCTCTCCTTTCTTAATACAAACACTGTTTGAATTGGACATCTGAAAAAAATTCAAAAATTGAGATCGGGAGATTTACTGATAGAAACAGCCTCACCTCAACAGTTGGCAAAACTCTTAACAATAAAGACACTGGGAGACATGGAAGTGACTGTCACACCACACGGAAGTTTAAATTCATCTCGTGGTGTGATATCTGAGGTTTATCTGATGTCTGAAGAATAGTCAGATATTCAGATTGGCCTTTCAAACCAAGGTGTCACTGCTGTTCGACGTATCTCTATTTGTCGAGATGGCAAATTGATACCAACCAAACATCTTATCTTCACATTTAACAAGCCGACATTGCCATCTTTCATTACTGCACTGTCCAGTTTGTCCATACGTTCCAAACCCACTACGTTGTTTCAAATGCCAGCGGTTTGGACATTCACAGACATCCTGTCGAGGGAAGAATGTATGAGCACAGTGTGGAATGGAAGGTCACCAGAGCACTGAGTGTACCACTACTCCATGCTGTGTGAATTGCAAAAACGCGCACCCCACCTACTCTCGCAAATGCCCTGCATGGCACACAGATAAAGGAATCCAGCGTGTAAAAACAGTCAACAACTTACCGTATCCAGAGGCACGTCGCATGGTCACTTCAAGTGCACCACTAAAACAAAAAACATCTGCTGCTGCTTTGAAATCCACAAAAACATGTGGAGTTCAAACCGATATTTCTGTTTCCCCAAAGGAATCTCTCACCAGGCTTGCGAAATGTTTACTGATTACACCAAAAGAAACACCAGAAAAGGAAAGTATAAAACCAAAAACACCCCTACCTAAAACAGGGGTAATAACAAGGAACCTGGGTTCTAAAAACGCTAGTAAGAACCCACTATTGAAGCAGAGAGTAAAATCGGCTCTCTCTAAATGTAAAAAATCAGAAGCCCACTCTATGAGTGAGTTTTCTGATATCTCTGATGAAGAGACTAATCAGGTGGTGACAAAACCAATATCACCTCCAAAAGAAAAACCCCAGGTTAGGTTAAAGAGAGATGCTCTCACAAAGAATGGTACCTCAAACACATAATGGGTTATAAAATAACCCATGGAACTATCGTGGTTTCCGCAACAACTTCTCTGACATTAAACACTTGACATCCTCTACCCAATCTCTCTGTGTGGCACTCCAGGAAACACATCTAAAACCTAGAGAAAAATATCTTTTAAAGAATTCAATCTCTACCGCAAGGATGATGATAGCCACAACCGTGCCAGTGGTGGTGTGGCTATTTTGGTTTCAAATCGCATTCCATCCTTACCGGTACAAATAACCACTGATTTGCAAGCTGTGGCAGTCAGGATTTCTATTGGAGTAACTGTCACAGTTTGTTCTATATACTTGCCACCAGATGTCAGAGTCAATGAGAATGAACTGGATGCTTTGGTTGAACAGCTGGCAACTTTGTTCCTGTTACTGGGTGACTTCAATGGTCACAATCCTATTTGGGGAAGTCCTGACATCAATAGTGGAGGCAGAGCCATCGAGAGATTTATAGGTAATCACCAACTGTACCTATTTAATACTGGAGAAGTGACATACTTCCATGCCCCATCAAGAACGTTCACTGCCATTGATCTATCATTAGCAATTCCAAATCTTTTTTCAGCATTTACATGGATGGTTGGATGTAATCCACTCTCTAGTGACCACTTCCCAATATTTCTAAAATATTGAGGCAGAGAAAGCTGTGAAACAGCCCGTCCACCACGCTGGAAACTGGAAACGGCAGATTGGCCTGCATTCTCCTCTTTGGCTAACATTACTGAGGAAATGGTCAATACTGCTGATATCAATGACGCAGTTGAAGTTGTCACTTCTAGTATTATTCAGGCAGCTGAAAAAACAATGGGGAAAACATCAACTAGATATCCAAAACATCCTAAACCATGGTGGAATCAGAATTGTGAGGCAGCATTTAAAGCACAAAAGAAAGCATGGGGTATTTTCAGAAGATACCCCACTGCTGAAAATTTGCAAAGGCAAAAAAGCAAGGGCAAAGGCAAATGCCAGAAAAATAAGAAGGCAAAGTTAAAGGGATTCTTGGAGGAAGTATGTTTCTAGCATAACATCTTCCACCAGCTCTAAAGCAGTCTGGGGCAAAATCCACAAAATTAATGGGAAATATACTTCTCATTCTGTCCATGCTAGAAAATAATGGCACAATAGTCAGCGATATACAGGGTATTGCCGATTCGTTGGGAGAAACATTTTCTGCTTCATCTAGCAATATTATGTATCCAAGGAATTTTCAAGCTTATAAAGCACAAAGAGAAAAACAAAATTTAAATTTTCATTCTTCATCTAATGAGGAATATAGTGTGCCATTTACTGGCATAGAACTACATACAGCAATCTCTTGCTCAAGGAATACTGCTGTAGGCCCGGATAAAATCCACTATAGCATGATTAAAAATCTGTCAAATAATTCCCTTTCTAATCTTTTGAATCTGTTTAACAGAATATGGACAGAACATACTTTTCCTGAATTTTGGAGGCTATATATCATTATTCCCATTTTGAAGCCAGGTAAAGATTGCAAGAATCCCTCTAATTACAGACCAATCTCTCTGACAAGTTGCCTGTGTAAACTCTTTGAGAGGATGGTAAACAGACGCCTGATGTTCCTCCTAGAGCAGCGCTGTCCAACTTATCATAGCCCGCGGGCCATATTTTCTTCACCAATCATTTCGGGGGCCAAGAAGGTTGCTGCTGTATTCAGCCAGGTTAAGTGATGTTACGCAAACTAAATAGTACCTACTTTAAATTCAAATTAGATTTAAATTTTCACATAATAAAATAATTTTAATATTAATAATAATAATTTAGTAACATAAATTTATTAATAGTAAAATGCACGCGCGGGCCGTAAAAATTATTTGGTGGGCCGTATACGGCCCGCAGGCCGCCAGTTGGACAGCCCTGTCCTAGAGGAAAAGAACTACTTTTCACCACATCAGAGTGGATTTCGTAGGAACAGAAGTACCACGGACAATTTAGTAAATGTTGAAACATCTATACGCGAAGCGTTTGTTAGACGACAGCACTTAGTGTCTGTATTTTTTGATATAGAGAAGGCCTACGATCGCTGCAGGCAATACGGAATACTTTGTGATTTGCACAAATTCGGATTGCGTGGTAATTTGCCAACTTTTATAAAAAACTTCTTGCAGAATCGAAGATTTCAAGTCAGGATAGGCAAATCTTTATCTAGGCCTTTCACACAAGAAGAAGGTGTTCCTCAAGGCTCTATTTTGAGTGTGACTCTGTTTCTAATCAAAATCAACAGCATAGCTAACTGTCTTCCTCCTAGTGTAAAACACTCTTTGTACGTGGATGATTTTCAGATCTCCTGCCAGTCTAGTAATATGAGTTTCATTGAGAGACAACTGCAAACCTCCCTAAATTGCATAGACAACTGGTCCAAGACCAATGGTTTCACTTTTAAT